TCTCACCACGGGGACATCCATGCTCTTCTCATCCCACGTATGACGCTCAGACAGCTTACAGCCACAAATCGCAAACGATTGCCATTTTCTGGGTTAACGCTCTTTGGCGGGCTCTCATTCTCTACAACATAAGCCATTTTCAATTTGCTTGTCACGAATTCAGTGTAGTAAGTACAGATGAAACTGATGCTTACCATAATCTCGTTATTTTTGGCCAAAAACTGCGTGTTGAACGGACCAGAAATGTTAAACTTCTCAGCTATCTTCCTGGTGGCCTCTTTGACCTAAAAGTTAAACAGGTAGAAATTGTGCTTAAAACAAAGCACGGTTCGCTAAATCCTCCGATTCACAAACTGCACAGTAACCACCGCCCCTTTATTTCAAGTGATACAATCCTCGCTGCTAGCAAGTGCTCAGCCCCGCCTATATAAATACTGTAATCTGCAATCTGTCGCTGCCTTTAAACGTAAGCACGTGGCCGCACGTGGTCAGCCAACGCCCAATTAATTCGACCAACCTGTGCAATGTCTTCTTCACTGATGGTCTGTGGAGGTAAGATCAAGGTAGCATCTCCTGAATGAACACCAGCATTCTCTACGTGCTCAGAAATAGCATGAGCGACAACCTGTAGATAAACAAACAACAGCATCAGCTGCTGGCTAGACAGGACACTTCAGTCAAGTAATATTTTTTATCAGGTATGTCGCTCTAACATTTTCTTCGTCTCATTAACGTTAGCTTAAATGAAAGTACGATCAGTCACCTTTCCGTTCTTAGCCACTGCATCCATTTCGATTTCACGCGCACCTTCAATGAACTTTGTCATCACAACAGGATGGTCCTGAATTCACAAAATAAAATTATTTTACTTACACCATCTTTGATATCATGCTAACTAAATGTTTACTGTTAGTGATATATAACTGGGTTTAGCTGGTAGAAAACTTTGACGGAATGTGCAGTGTCTGGATAATTCAGGCTTTCCTTGGCGACCAACAGCTACGATAGGCTTTGTCACGCGATTTCATTCGAATGATTACAAACACAGCACAAACACGAAACGAAACAGAAGAAAAACGAGCGATTTATTACATTTTGCGAAGGCTTTATTCCAACATTTTAAGCCATCAATCTATCACAGAATTCTAGTTCTGTGAAACTACACTAGAGAGAAAACCGAACAAATATAATCAAAGAAGAATGATCGAAACTTTATCTGTAAAACGCGTGGAAATGATAACTGATTTAACTCACTTGAGACACTCTAGCAGCTTCTTCTAAAAACTTCTTCAACTCCACTGGACCATAAGCAACATTCATGGCTGATCCACTGTAAAGGAAATAAAATCAAATTTTAATCAACAACAAAAAAGCACAAAAACCCCTTGAATTTGAAAAAGCTATCAGAAAAAGTGGAACACACAAGTCTGACGACAGTTTTCAGAAAAATGATCTATGTATCTGAATAAATGCAGTACAGTTATATAAAGATTCACGACTGACTGTTACCTTAAAACGTAGGAAGGTCTCAGAAGACATGGGTAACCCACAGTGGCAGCAAAATTCAGTGCGTCATCCTACAACAAAACATGGTGGAGATGCAGTCTCAACACTAAATTCACAAATGACTCGTAAAACCTCCCACGTGAAAGAAAGGGGATTCTCGGCATCTCGCTTAGAGGTATAAATCAAGAATTCTGACTTAGTTAGGGTATTGATGACGAAACGCCACTACTCAAAGTATCCTTTAGGGTGCACTCGAAGAAATAATATATAAAAAAGCTTATTTCCTTTTTTAGGCTCGATTTCCTTCGGTCTCTCGAGTCCGGTATACTAGCACAGGTTTCCTTCTTGAACAGCGGCTGGTAATCAAGCCTATTCTGTTTTAGTGTAAGTGGTCTCCTTTAGGGGTTTAATTCAGATCTTCTGACGAGCGTCCCCGACTTTTTTTTATATGGCAGTCCACCACGAGCGTAAAACAAAGCCGTTTAATTAATACTCACCACAGATGATACAGCCCTCCATGGGGCCTGTCCAACACCAATCTCATCAAGGATTGCAGAAAATCGAGATCTGAAGGTAAAGAAAATGGTTTCAAAAGATTGCTTAAGCAGAAGAAAACTTTCGTCCGTACAAAGGAAGGGGTGTTACCTTTCTTCGGCCGCGTCGATCATCAGGGGGGAGGTACCCAGGACATTGACACCATTCATGTACAAAGGCAGTGCAAGGTTGTTAGGAATCTGGCCACCAACTGAGATAACAGCACCTTTGCACACCTACAATAAAAAAGTAAAAATAAACAAATGGAAGTCCTTAGCCGACGGTTTTCACAGCATCACATCAACTAATAAGAGGCTCACTATCGCCCCCAGACCACCCACCCACCCATAATTCATTGCCGGTTACACATTTTCCAGCGGTTGCAATTTTTCCCGCGCTTGGCATTCCTTACGCGTTTGTCTCGCGTTTAGGCCATTCGCTACTGTAGTGAATAGAGCGTTTGGAACAAAACTGTTAAGATAAGAAAGGAGTTCAACTCCCACCGGATTGGTCTGAGACACAAACATGGCCGCCGTTTTTTGCATTGAGACACCAGTATGACCGTGATGTCATATAAAAACACCCTCTAGCCTTCTGATTACAGTCGAACCTCTCAACAACGGCCACCTTGAGGGCAGAGGAAAGTGGCCATTGCAGAGAGGTGGCCGTTAGGGGGAGGCAGGGGTGTAATATGACACTTGCTGTTTTCGGAGGGTGCAACAGTTTTCTTTTAAAAAAAAAAAACTTAGTATAGCTTATTTTGGTAGTTTGGGACGCGCTTTGGTGCCCATTGCCGTTGTGGAGAGGTGGCCGTTAGTAGGGGGGTTGGACTGTACTTAGATATGAATTCTGTGACTTGATTAAAACCGTTACAGACAAATGAATCTCGTTACCTCTTGTTGATAGATGTCCAAGACTCTTTCAAGGGAAAGTTCCTCAAAGTACAGGCGATCACACTCATCATAATCTGTACTTACAGTCTCTGGGTTGTGGTTTACAACAACCTAATCATAAAATTACAAAGCTTTGTTGTCAACAGAAACTTCTACAGCCAAAAGCTCTTAAAGCCTGCATCTCGCCGTCGTTATTAAAACTATCCGCATCCTGCCTTTCAAAATGAGCAAATTCCGCTCCCGCTGACCTATCTTTATCCCGCGTCCCGCGATTATAATTTCTGTCATTCCCGCATCCTGTCTACATTTTTGATTCTCGTCCCGCATCCCGTTAAACTGAGGGCCTCCCAGGGATTTTGGGGAACAAGGGAACATTTATTTCAAGGGAACAAGGGATATTTTTGGGATAAATTTGAGGGAAAAAGGGATATCTTTACTGTTAAAGGGAATATTGACAAAAAAATTTTAGGGAACAATGGAATTTATTAATAGGGAACAAGGGAAAAAAGTGAAATTTTCAATGGATCAAGGGAATGTACCACCCCCCTCCTCCTCGGGAGGCCCTCTTCATACAACCTTACCGTGTTGATTCCAAGGTTTCTCAAAGTTCTTATACAGGACACCGCACACCAATCAAACTCCACACTGCTGCCGATATGATAAGGACCACATCCAAGGACCATAACACCATGATCATCAAACACCAAGTCATGTTCCTGGCCATTGTACGTCATATACAGATAGTTTGTTTTCGCTGGGTACTCGGCAGCCATTGTGTCAATCTGATGAGCAAAGAAAATGCATCTGAGTTCAATAACTACGCAACGCAAGTCGCTTCCACGTTGTCTTGTACCAGAGTCGACGAGTATAATAGCCCATTTCCGAGCCTCTCTATCAAAGCGAGGCTTGGTGCACAACCATTCGTATGAAAATGAATTTAATTTGCACGTGAATGAAATATCATTTTCATAGGAAAGGATGGGCACCAAGCCTCGCCTTGAGAAAGAGGCTAAAAGTAATTCGGAAATGGCCTATTGGGTAGAGTACTAGCGAACTCTTAGCGCAACCTACCAAAATTCTGGGGATAGACTTGCACGAGTTGAACCACTTGAAACACTTTCACATATTTACGGTTTCCTCAAAACCCGATGAATAAGTTGACAAACCTGTTTAGCAAGTTACGTACCTGTTTAACCCAGGGTTTAACTCCTTGTTTGATTCTCTCGTTCCTCACGTCGTTCTCTTGTACTCCAATCATCCTTCCTAGCTGTTTGTCGGAAAACCCAGCTTGTTTGGCCTCTAACAAATCTTCCCGCTGTAAAGATCCTCTGAAATTCAACAGAACACGCTTACTACAGGGATTTAACGAGCCCGTGGCATTCGTCAGAGCAGTTGCCTAGCAATATAACGTCATGATGACAACTTTCGGATGTACTCGCGAGTGTTCGCACTTTGGTTTCATTGAATAATAAATAACGGAAGCTCTTCGAGTATTTTCTGAGGGCGCGAGGAATTGCCGAAAGCGGCACATATTCCGCTGACAGAAGGCAATGCTGTAAAGTCAGGAAGCCAAACTGCTGGCCACATGACCGGGATAACATTGGACTGTCTGATTTGGGATTCGTTTAAGAAAAAAAAAGGCCAACTGACCTCCTCATTAGCTATACGAGCTGATGTTTTCGGAGCTAACTAATGTCGCTAACTAAATTCCCTCCGACTCTCAAATCAAATATGTTCGTTAAATTTATGTAAACTATCGACAGTAGTTACGATAATAAGGACGTCGTTAGTTACATTGCCAATTCGATGACTGTTATTTAATACCCAAGGATTAAAAATAATGTTATGATTAACAAAACGCTTACAGTCCCTGGTTCTTCATATCTCGTTCTATTTCCACAATAAGATGCAGTTTGTGTAAGGATTGAAATGTTTTGATTAACAAAACGCTTACAGTTCCTGGTTCTTCATGTCTCGTTCTATTTCCACAATACGATGCAGTTTGTGTAAGAACCACCGATCGATGCTGGTCAATTCGTGGATTTGGTCCACGGAGTAATTCTCGTGTAACGCCTGTTGACGAAGAAAGAAAACCCAAGTTGGTGTCAAACACGATTCTGAACTGAACAAAACAAGCTTCTGACTGAAAAAAAGCAAACAAACAAAACACACCCCCAAAAAATAAAACAGGAACTCTACTTTATGGAGTTTCTCTCTCACCTTGGCGATGGAGTACACTCTAGTGTTTGACGGAACAACCAGCTCGTCGTCAAGTCTGCCGTCTGATAATTCTTGATGCATGCTGGGAAGCTGCAAAAGAGCAAAGAAAGAAAGAAAGCAAGTTCTGCAAGGGAACTGTGAACAACTGTTTTCATCCATTCGATATGTCTTTTAGGCACGAACGAAGTTAAATATGAAAAGGCAGCGTTCACATGATTCAAAACATAAAAATCGAAAATTCATCGTCGCGGTTCATGTTCCCCCAAAACAGAGAATTTTGTCATTTCACGTTGTTGTTTTACATACGATGGATAAGAAACGTTAACAAACCGTCCTGGTTTGCTTCGGCGAAGACCTACCTTTGATACAAAACCGTCAACTGAGGGATGAACCATACGTAAGGCCTTCTGGAAACTCTCCTCAAACGTTCGACCAATTGCCATCACCTAGCGAACAAAATGCCCACAAGTCAGTCTGTGAAGAAATTGCGACAAGCTCTTAAAACAGAAATAGGTAATGCAATAGGCAATTATTTCCCCACTTTCCTTGTTCTGCAACATATTTTCCTCTACACTAAGACCCAAATTTCTAGACTCAGACTCACATTTTGTAGGCTTCACATATAATCTCGGCGTTCTGTTATAATCAGGCTAACAATATGATAAATNTCTCCATCTTTTATCATCCTATCTTAGTAAACAACTATTTTCAGTTTTCCTCCAATTTGAAGGTAATTTTGTACGTCACCAAACTACCGTGACTAAGCTCATTTATTCCGCAATACATGTATTATACACGCAGATCTGCACATGTATCATACATTTATAGTCCTGAGTTCGTAGTCGTTGCTTGCAAGAAAGGTCGCAGTTTGTCCTTATTACAATCCACTTCCATCCTTGCCATTGTTATTCATCCTCACTTCCTAATGTGTCCTTTTCATTTGTTCAGTACTGTTCTACAAAATCAAACCGTTACTGTTGGGTTCCATGTTATCTGGCTATGATTTCTGTCTCCGTTTTCAATTTTGTCCATATTACAATCCATTTTCGTCCTCGCCATCGTTGTTCATCTCAGCTTCCTAATGGGTTTTTGTCATTTGCTGAGTACTGTTCTACAAAATCAAACCATTATTGTCTTGCTGGTTCCCTATTGGCTAAGTATACCTTTTAGCTTCCTGAAAATTAAGTTACAAATCAATGACAGATAATTGACGTTTCTGTCGTCAAATATCGTTGGATATTTACCCCGTCGCTTTGGACGCAAGGGCAGAGCTTCTGGACAAGCGGGCATTAACTTCAATGATACAGTATTCCAGTGACTTGGGGTGAAGAGCGTACTGTATGTTACATTCACCAACTATACCAAGATGGCGGACAACCTGATGAACAAAGCAGCAAACAATTTGTGAAGATTTAGCAGAGAATAAGCAAAGCTGATTTCACATTTCATTTATAATTTCAATGAAATTACTTTTGTCAATCATTTTGTATTAGGTGAGATCTTTAGAACGATATTACACAGTAGAGTTAAGCAAAAACTGAATCAAACCTTGAGGGCTGTTTCTCGAAGCATGTGATATTCCTCATTGGAAAGAGTCTGACTTGGTGCCACGACAACGGAGTCACCTAACACGAAGTGCGAGAAGAAAAACTTGTTAACACTACAACTTGGCGCCGGCCTGAGATTTCCTTATGCAAATTATTACAGTATAGCTATGAGAGTTGCAACTATCAAAGGGCCCTAATTGGCCAGAACCAGGGGTGTTAACCATTTGTTGGAATAAACCGGTTACAATAACTGTTGAGTAACTGTAACGTTTTTTTTTTTCCCAAAATCAGCACACCAGCCAATCGAATTGTAAATTGCAAGCTCTTTCTGAGAAAGAGCTTGCAATTTACAATTCGATTTCCCGTAATTGTTTAAGGCTGATGAAAGACTGGAAACTGAAAAATTTATCAAATGGTGAGTAAATTTCCGCCGTTCCGTTCCGAATGGAAAAAGATGATACGTCTGGAGGTAGTCTATAATTTCCGAACGGATTTTCCAGAAAATTACTGTTCCGTTTGACTTTCAACAGAAATTTCCGGGACTTTTTGGCTGCATGGTATGCACCCTCAGTTTTGGGGGCGCCTAGTAGCTAACGCTTTGAAGCAAAAGAGTATCAGTTGGATTGGAGAAAGATCTGGTACACTAAACAGTTATTGAAAACTCTCTGAATAGCATGGTCAGTAATACCTGTATGAACTCCTAGAGGATCAAAATTCTCCATGTTACAAACAGTAACACAGTTATCGGCTGCATCCCTGACCACTTCATACTCAATCTCTTTCCAGCCCAGTAGCGACTGCTCTATGAGAATCTGATTTGATAAAGTCAGTGCCTGGAGACAAAAGAAAAAAAACCCGTCAGTTTTATGTGCCTGTCCTCTGATCAACGATATAGTTGCAACATATAATTAAGACACTGGCGCAGTGGCCGAGATCGAACAAAACTTCATGCTTGTAATACTTTGAAAACTTGCTGCTTTGGAACGGTTATGGAACCAAGCCTATGAGTTATATTTCCTGGAAGCCCATTCTGTCAATGCGATCTCCCTGTATTTGGAAATGTTAGAGTATGCATTGTTCAGCTATATGTTGAAAGCATGCCATGTTGTTTTGTAAACTCTGCAAAAAAAGTGTGCATTAGAAAACAAAATTCAAAGAGAAAAAAATTGTTTTTAAAACTATACTTCAAGATTTTCAACAACAGCAGTGCCAACATCATCAACAACAGCAACAAATGTAAATAACCTGTGTTGCAACTTCTCTCAATTTCTTTTCATTTTCACACAAGCCTGATCCTAACCCTCCGAGTGCATATGCAGCACGAACCATCACAGGGAAGCCAATGGTATTGGCAGCCTTCACTGCTGATTCTACCTACAACAGAGAGACAAAGTTATTACTTTGAAGCTGGTCAAGTATTCTTTAAGCTTTTCTTTTCATTTCAAAGACCCCCAACAAGGAGTATTTTCATTAAAGAGCGAAATAGCATCTTGGAAATTTAGAACTGAATAGTAAGGGTACACCATGTTGACGGCTTGTTTAGTTGACGCATAAATTAGTGTGCATAATTACGATAAATTAATAGTGCAGCTGAAGTTTTATACAGTGCAATCAAGAGAGTGAAATTCGGTCCACTACTATACTTGCTCATTGCTTCTGTATTCACTCGAGAAAAAAGAGACAAGGGTGAGATAGACTGGCATGGATTTCTGTGCAACAAATTTAGAAAATTTAGCCTTCAATTTCAAGATATGCCGTCTAGCTTACTGTTTCCACAGCAACACTTGGCGCAATCTTCTCTCCAATCTCTTTGAGCTTGTCAGCAAAAAACTGTCTGTCTTCTGTGGCTTTGACTGACTCTATTGGTGTTCCAAGGACCTAGGAATACAAGAATAGTGACACATTTTATTGCATAACATGAATCAATCAAGAGAGCTACAGATTTCTTATTTTCATGGAAGTTACCATTATCAATGATACATCTCTATAATCACTGTAAGTTTACAAACAAACAAGCAGCAACAAACAACAAAACTTTACTCCTTTTTCAATAATTTAGAGCCATGAAATTTTAGGTCAATGAGTTGTCTTACATCTACACAATTGAAAAAAACAAATTTAAACTGAGAAAGATGTGAATTTTTCCAATAAAAAATCGGCTGTTTCTGGAATGACAACTTCTATTGAGACCCAAGAGGAAGATAACTGGAGAAACAGTAGACAGGAGAACATTGGTACAACTAATTAAGAAGTTTGTGTTAAATAACTGTTTTGATTTTGCCTGTTTGTACTTTGACTCTCTCCCCCCACAATTACAAGTCTCTAAGGATTGACTGATCAAGTAAAAAAGGTATTGGCACCTGAACACCATATCTCTGTAATACTCCTTTGTCATACAGCTCAACTCCTAGGGAAAAACAAGAACATATGTTTAGTTTGTTATAGGACAATATTTTATGGCTCTAGTACCATCTCATATGTTACTACAGAAGAGACATTTGAATCACTTACTCGCTAAGAACTATTTTTATTGATAGGCATACCACAGTTTAAGGCTGTCTGTCCACCCATTGACAATAGAATTCCATCAGGTCTTTCACGCCTTATGACATCCTCAACAAATTCTTGGGTGATGGGCACAAAGTACACGACATCGGCCTGTGGGATAAAAGTTACTGAATTGATCAGTACATTTTTGTAAAAATACAACCTCATATTAAGTTATATTCATCAAGACTGTAGAGCCAGTTCTGCTCAATAGCTTTGATGCCAGTGGTCCCACACTAAGGTTTTATCCCTAGATTTTTAAAACAGTTACAACCACCTAGTACAGCATAATAAATGGTAGCACATCAATGTACTGCTCAAATAGCCTTCATTTGAATGGTCACATGCATTTATAATTCACTTGAGGTTTGACTTGGAGAGGGAAGGATTAATGCTATAAAAATATCATACCTGTTTCTCTCCTTCTGCATTAGTTTGAACAGAAGCAATGTTAGGATTCATCAAAATGGTCTTAATATTTTCCTCCTGCAACATACATAAGAAATAAACAACTACAGTATTTTCAAATTTCCAGTTGTGGAATAAAAAGTTATAGCAGCTAATAAAAGTCGTTTGAGCAGAGCCCCATCAGGCCAATGCGTATCGGTTTCTACTCTCCCCTGGATGGGATGCTAGTTCACTGCAGGGTTACCCCCTAGCATTAAATTTCTTGATACATCTGGGTGGAAAGAGGCACTGTGAGAGTAAAGTGTCTAGCTCAAGAACACAACGCAATGACCCTAACCAGGGCTTGAACCCAGACCGCTAGACCTGGAGTTCAGTCCATTGGACCCCCTAAGGATAAAAATCTACACAGGGTGGAGAACTTATAAAAAATAATTCTTTCAAATACCTTTAGAGCTTTTATAGCTTGAGATCCTGAATAATCAAATTCACCAGCCTGACCAATGGACAAACCTCCAGATCCCAACACCAGCACTTTAGACACCTGAGACGTTTACAAGAATCAGCAGGTTAGCTGACATATTTACTGCACAATGCATAATTAAATAGTCATTCTTTTTTTTACTAACGACTTACATTTACAGATAAAATTAATGCTTTTTTATGTTTACAGTATACCTTTTTGGTTGATAAATATTAAAGTTAGAGTATGGGGGTTGAGTATTTACCATTTGGTTTTCTAGTTGGCCCCCATATTTACATAATTAGTTAACTTTTGGTACAGGTAAGGAACCAGAAAGGAGAAAATAATAAAAAATCATAATCATGATAAACCTACAAACGAACAAACCAAAATACAATTTCCGTGTAATAAGATGAAAAAGTAGGATAAAATGACAAGTTTTCGGAGAGCACAAGTTTAAACAGAGCAAATGATAATTGTTACAAGAAGTCAGTTTTTTTGGGCACTGTTTAGACCGTAGATAGCATTTGATGTTTTTAGAAAAAGCACACTCATTTAGACCAATTTCAACATTAGGCATTCAGCCCTGTGGATGTCAGTGCATTCATCATATTTGGCATGCCTACAATTTTAAACACACATTCTCTGTTATTACCAGTTATTGACTTAGGGTCAGACAGGTTGAGCTGGACTGGAAATTCGCAGTCACAGCCATACTAAGTAAAGCATAGTTTTCATTAGCAACTCAACAAGCATGAGAGTCCACATCAACAATGGCAATATCTACAACTTTGAAACAACAAGGTTTAAAGCCCTGTGGTGATAACAAGACAGCATGTCTTTACTTAGTCAGCAGAATAACAGGTACAGTCCCCATGCCTAAAAGAGTGCCCTAACCTTATGGGATGGTACAATCATCAGTCATGCCTAACCTCAGGGGGTGGTAGTAACATCGGTGGCACCTTACCTTAGGGGCAGGTGGAACTTTGAAGGGTCTTCTAATGGCATGCTCCACTGAGTTCTTTCCTCCTTTCACAAGATCCATAAATGAGTCAAAAAGAAACTGCAAGAAAGTGCTTAATGTTAGCAGTGAATACATGATCAATTGCTTTAATATTAACAGTTGACAGTTTGGCCATTAATGTATGAAACTGATACAAACACATCCTCTCTAGTGACCTGTGGACATCTTGGCAGTGATTTTAAACTGGAGGTACCCAGTACTAGACATAATTATCTCAGATTCTGAACATAAAGAGACTTAAAACTTGTCTCAAGTGGTACTCGTGCCAAATTGGATGTTGACCTTGTTACAGGTTACCCCCAACATTGTGTCAAAATGGTAGATGGATTAATGAGTGTTTATAACGTGCACTAGTCAGCCAAATATATATTGAAACTTCAGAAAAAGATAGTTTCTTGGAGATGGGATATAGATATCAAGAGAACCTTACATAAATGGAAGTAAAAATAATTTTAGAGCCTTTAAAAGCAAAGTTCTGACTCTAGAGGTAAACTGAGTTTTTGATAAAAAAAAAAAGCAATTCCAGTATAGGGTATGCAGAAGGGGTAAGGACACCCCACCAAGAGAGTCACCAAATATCTCCCAGGCCCCACCCCCTGGGTGCCATATACAATTACCTCAGTGTCTGTTGGTCCACCAAATGCTTCTGGATGAAACTGTGCAGTGAATATAGGTTTTTCTGTGTGCATGATACCCTGTAAGGGAAGTAAAGTAAATAAAGAATCAGGCACTGAAAATAAGTAGTAAAACTTTTAAGCAACAAAATAAAACTTTTATGGAAACATTCAGTTGTGGAATTTTATCTTTGATCTTTGGACCACACTCAATTAGTATTTCATCTGATCTTACAGAACAAAATCAATCCATGTTGCAAGACATTCTCCCTGAATTATCTCTTACTTATGGTTCACGTAGCCTCCAGTCTCAATAAAAACAGATGATTACAACAGTTACCTTATTATAAAGTTCTGTAATGATATTTGTATCGAGAAATAAAGATGTCATTGTTGCACAGTACTTCTTAAAATTGCCTCCAAAATTTTCCTAAGAAAATTCACATGCCTACAGTGCAAGAGAATCACGTGTACAAAAGGCATATGCAGTTAAGTGTCAATCGACAATTGATTGACATTTCAGTCGACACTCCACCAACTATTGACTGACTGTTGATAGAGTATTGATCGAGATGCCGATTGAGTGTTGGTCTAGTGTTGACTGAGTATCAATCAAGAGGTCAATCGAGTGCAGGCAAGGGTATTGATCGACACTCAACCGCTGATGCCTTTAGTACACATGATCCGGGCAAGTGTAGGCGAGAATCTACCAGCCCAACTGCAAAATCTACCAGACAAAGGCCACTGGACATAACTGACTTTCTTTCAATGCTGCATTCGACACATTCAAACAAGTTTGAGGGAATAAGCCAAGCACATATAACTACAGAGATCTTCAACACTACTAATAACAAATTTAAAGGGAAATGGTACTATACTTCATTAGTTCTGTCATTGGCATTAATAAACAATGATCTCCAATTAGAAGGAAGTGTTTGGTCGTCAATAGCATATCCATGATTCTGGGAAGTAATGAATGCTTGTCCATTGAGCTGGTTAATAACTGGTTGATTGTGTCCTCTAAAAGAATATGCAAAGAATTAACTTAGTCTTACTTACACAAGAAGAGCTGTTCAGAAAGAATATTACCTACTGGGTGTCTGTACACATTGCAGACCTATGCTGCTGGATAATCTAACAATCTCTCACCATAAACTGTAGACCTTTGACTTATCAAAGGCAGATCCAGGGTTTTTCAAAGGGGGGTGACTGGTACCTTAGGGCTGCAGAATCAGTGAGACATGCCTCCAAAATGTTGCAATTTGAGAATTGAATTCTTACTTAAAACTGTTACATCAGAAACACTAGCTGTGCTTGCCTTTTAATTTCTGCCATAATATTCACGATCTTTATCAATTTTTGTCATTTTGTGGTTCTACAAAATGGGGGTGGCTAGCAGCCCAATCCACCCGCCACTAAATCTGCCCCTGCTTGTATGAAATCAACCTATAGCTACCTGTTTCCAAGAGGCAGTTTGTAAGTCTTTGCACCTGCTGCCAGACCTGTAAGCTGGTTTCCCATACAGATACCAAATATCGGCTGGCTACGATTGCTGTTCAACACCTGTAAGAGCAAGTAGAAAGTAAACACTTGAGTTTAAGACTTGTTCCTAACCTAAAGGAGTTGACTAAAAATCAAAACAATCTTAGAGATGTTCTTAAACTCTGAAATAGGCAATGGCCCAACACATAAATTATATTGGCTCTTTTTAGTACTTATTTAGTCATAACAGACTATGTACGGTTTTTGCAAACCTTTCGCAGATTCAGAACGGCATCCCATGCCAATGCAGGATCTCCAGGTCCGTTGGAAATAAATAAACCATCGTAAATATCATCTGAGTAGTCATAATTCCATGGTACCAAGTGAACTTCTGCACCACGCTAAATGAATGACAGAAAAATTGTCAGATGCTAAAACTCAGTGTTATTTCTCTTACAACTTTTCAGGTTAGAGGAAGAGAAAAGGCAGGATATAGGTACGGTATTTGAATCGCTGGAGTCTAATTTATTTTATTAAAACCCTGATCATTGGATAATGCAATTGAAGAGTTTTCATTGGCTTAGCCATCATCATGAGCCATTACACCATGCTCTACGAACATAGTAAGCTTTGGGGCATTTTTACTTCCTTTTTTTCTTAAATTTTGGGGGTGTTTTTAACAAAACAATAAAATTATTATTCTACTTGCCCTTACAAGTTGGATATGAGGTGATGATAGCCAACTTGGATGTACACGCCTCACTGGCTATTTATCATCTCATATCTAACACGTGCTCATGGAATGATAAATATTATTATTGTTAAATCTCACCATCACTAAGTGCCTGATCATGTTCTGTTTCACTCCACAATCAACAACAATCACTTTGTATGGGTTTCCTTTACCAAATATTTGTGTTTTCTGAAAAAAAGCAGTAAGATTAATACAGAGATTAAAATCACTAGTTGTGAACTTTATAGTTAGTCTATCTTTCTTTCTCACACACTACTGATAGCCATGTCAAGCTGACCGTTGCCACCTGATGTACAAAATCAAAGCTAATACAAATAGTGTTACGCTAAGGACTGGAAATGACAAAAAATGTTCAAGGCTTATACGGTACACTAGCATTGTATTTAAACTTAAAAATCTCTGGGTGGGTGGGCAGGAAAGCTGGCAATGGTGAACATAGCAGAAACAACTGCTTGCCCCACAGGTCACATGACCTGTACCTAGACCCCACGGGTGTGCGAGAAAAACATTTTTCACTTATTTCGTCTCACTCAGCCAGTGAAAAATTATTCTTTGAGGAATTCTAGCTAATGTCTATATGCTGTGTGATACCAGACAAATTATTTAGTAACCATTACACTTTCAGTCTCACAGACAACCAGAGAGATACCAACCTCAACAGAAACATCTGCAGTCAAGTTTCTCTGGTTTGGATCCACAAATTCAACAGGCTGGTCTTCGAACTCTATTTTACCAAGTACAGTTCCCTTAAGGAGAAAAAAATCTTCAGTAAAATTACAGTATTAAATTGCATTCACAGTTGATTACTTTTGCAAAGCACACTGAGCAATCTACATCTTACTCCTCCCATATAACAGTTGCAGTGTCAACGAAGCTGTTTCATAACAACTACTATTAAGAGCAAAAGTTAACAATAATAGAAGTTAAAAAGTTCACAGAAAACATGTAAGATAGTTAACTCAGCAAGTTTTCTGACTTGTAAACCTCTAATTGAAATTGAAATTTGTAAGTTCTGGCCTGGCTGAATGACGTGATAGATTACAGATACCTTGTCCCTTATGGTCTTGGTCAACATTCTTGTATCTATTCCATACAAAGCAGGAATCTATGAAATAAAACACATACATAATTCAAAAGTAATAACTAACAATTTTTTTTTCGCAAACTGTAGGTTTGTCAGTGATCTAATTGGCTCAGGCAAACCACATGTGTACTTAAGGCATCCATGACTGAGTGTCAATTGATACCCTTGATTGACACTTGATCGATATTTGATCGACACCTCAGCTGACACTTGCTTGACATTTGAACAACATCATGATCGACAGTCGGTCAAGAGTCAACTCATTTTCGCAAACATGCTATCGCGTGTTGATCAATACATATCAGTTGGTCAACACTTAACCGACTATCGACTGACTGTCAATGGAGTGATGATCAGGTGTGATTGAGATGTTGATTGAGTGTTGAGTAAGTGTAGACCGAGTATCGATCGAGATGTCCACCGAGTGTCGATCAAGATGTTGATCGAGGTTCAATTAAGGGTATCAATTGACACTCGACAATGGATGCCTTTAGTACATGTGATCTGATAATTGTACCATGTTCTTCCAAGACTTTGGACTAAATTCTAAATTTTTGCAAATGGTTTTTGGCTGGGATGTGGTTAGTTTCATGATATAACTAGACTGTTGGTTGCTCTTTTTGCAAGACAGCTTCTACTTGTTTGTGAATTCAAAGCTACCTGAAAGCAGGACTGTTTCTAGTCTGACATAACTGATTATTACCAGTTGATCAATTTGATAAACACTTGAAATGCAAACCACTAATTAAAATTATAATATTTTTAACTGAAGATCCAACTTCCAGAATTTTAGGCTGATTAATGTTGTACCTTTTCCTCCTGCAACCATTCTGAAAGTGACTTGACAGCATTCCAGTGACTGTAGTTGTGAGAGTAATCTTGAACAAGCAACCCTGATACCTGGTCAAATGATAGAAAAAATAACATTTGTGAATAAATGGTCGAAAAATGGATGGGAAATTTAATTGAACTTAAATGAGCTTAACTTAATTTAACTTAAACTACGGTATCTAAAAGATAATAATGCTGCGGCGCATTCTATTGATAGTGACATATTTTACGCAGTGATTCATCTACAACTTCATGCATGATGACACATGGATGGCGAGGTGTGACAAGGGATTGTGACAAAAAAGCACATAGTGATCTGACCCATGTTTGAACATAAAAAGATACACGTCAATCTCCCCTTTACCAGATCTCGAAAATCGAAAGATGTGGAAGTTGTAGGAGCAGAAATCTAACTTATAAATTCTGTATTGATACGTATTAAATGTC